TGCAGCAGCCGCAGCCGCTGCAGCTGCTAAAAGTCCATGAGTCGTAGTACTAGCAATACCTGTCGATAGTGACAAAATTAGAAATTTATATATAAGAATTTTCAAACAATACCAACATATACTCTAAGGATTTTATAATTTTGTCATTACAACACTAGAATATTCTGTCAATAAAAATTAACAATTTATAAATATACTAATAAAAACCAATCTATCCTATTTATCCAATATAATTTTCTAGCGAAGAGAATCAACTTATTCAGTTTTCAGAAGAGATAATCATACAATTTAATATCATACCTATAATAAAAAAACATATCAAAGGTCTTGAGTTCAAATCTACTGTTAACGAAAAACCAAAAAACATAAAACAATATTTTCACACAATAATTAAATCATAAAAAAGAACTAAACAAACACATAAACAATATGTAGCTAGAGAGTACATACATACTCCACTAATTCATGTATCACCATTCAGATTTCAAGCCTCATTTGACTCTCGAAATTCGAACAGTACGTACCACATAAATTGAAACAAACAAAGATAATTTGAAAAAACATACCTCCTAGGTTTTGATACTTTGAAAGTTCAGATTTAGCACAACTAAGATCCATTTGTAGTTGCCTAAGTTGATGTTGAAGAAGTGAAATAACACCAACACAACCATAAACAGGATCACGAAGACGCATATCAGCTTCATATGCTAACGAATTTACAGCATCTTCGCGTTGATGAGGCTGTAATTCGTTAAGCAATTTAGTCACATTACTTGCCCCAAACACCTTATGAACATTCGCGAATTTCTGTGGTTGATCAGGAGGGAAGTAAGGTGCAAACACACATTCTGGTTGGCATTTCCTACGTAGGAATTTGCACGCTGCACATGGTGAATTCGACGATAATGATGAAGAAGATGACATTGACAATAACCTAGAAGAAGAAAAAAGGGGTAAAGAGTTAATAAACGAAGTATAATCCAAGTTTAAGTTTTATATACTGACAAACTAATATTATTGCTTCTTATACAATGAGTTAACAAGTTATATATATAAATTCATAGTGTAATTTTTTAATAAATTTACTATCTGGTTATCTAAATAACATGTAAGTATTTGTAATCTTGAGGATAAAATAAGGTATATATATATATATTACAAAGGGTATATAAATGATCTGGTAGTGTAAAAAATCTTTTACATTGATGATTTATACCGTTTGAACTCTTTATAAAATCAGATTATTTATGTAATTACATGTAAATCTCTTGATAAGTCTGAATTGATACTATCTAGTAGTAAAAATAATAACTAAGATTCTATCACATATTAAAATTTACTAATAATATACAATCGATATACATAACTTAAATTCATATCAATAAATTAAAGGTAATTTAGATCCAAAAAAAACTTTTAATTTTAAGAAAGTACAAAAAGGAACAGTAATATAAGTACTCTACATACCTGTTTTTTAATTTTTGAATATTTGATGCAATTTGAAGACCAATAAAAATCTTGGTAGAAATAATAATACTATTACACCTGAATTTTTTTTGAAAGTTTATGAAGAAGAATGGTATAATTAACAAACTTAAGTACATATTTTGTACCAAGTAATAGTAAAAGCTAGAAAAATAAAATATAATAAAATTGTGTACATGTAATATGAATAACTTAAAGATTAATGAAAAGAAATAAATATATAATAAAGATTTTCTTGGGAAGGTTTAATTTTTTGGGATTGGATCCCGTGAAAATTAAGTATGAAAGTAAGAGCTTTTATATTTGTTTAATTAAAAGTATACAATTATCTCTCTTTACAATGTCATAATTCTAGTCTCTCTTGCTTGGAAATTCATTCACATGTAGATAAATCAAGTCACCTAAAAATTATTTTATAACAATGTATATAACTTAAATTCGAGAAAATATTTATATTAAAAGTAGAAAAATGTCTTTATAAATAATATTTTAGTACACTATCAAATCATTTAATGAATGAGATCTATAGTCTTGAATCAAAAGACAGTCACTTAAATATCTTTGTCAAAAAATTATACTATGCATATATAAATTAACATTATGTATATAAAAAAAAAATTAAAACTCTTTAAAAATATATACTAAATTTTAAATACTCTTAGCAAAATTAACTCTTGTAAAATAAGATTCATTATCTACTCTTAAATGACATGATAATGTTCGAAAATAATATTGTATATATAAGTAAAAATAACTTTAAAAACTCTTAAATTAGAGAAAACTTAAGACTTTAAAGTTCATTTTCTTGAAATAAGTAAAGAAACAAAAAAATAGTATAAATAAGAAAGCAAACAAAAAAAAATAAATTAAAAAGCAAAAAATAAATTTTAAAAGTCTAGTATATATATTTTGTTGAAAGTTTGCGTGCCTACTTAGTCTTAGGTCAAACCTTATTTTTTCTTGGTTCTATTTTTCAGCACTAAAAGTCAAGCTTGGATCTTGTGTAGAAAAAAGCTTTCTTTTTCATACCAAAAATACGATAAAAAAATCGAAATTTTAGTAGCTCAGTTAGTTGACTAGCTAAATAATTAAAAAATATGAAATTTTAGTAGCACAGTTGGTCAATCGAACAACAAAAAAGAAAAAAATTGCCCTATACTAAAATAGAGATGAAATGATTACCTTTTTTCTTTTTTTTTCTGACTGATGATGATCTTCAAGAAAAATCTTCAACTATATATGAAAATAACTAAGAAGAAACTAGATGTTTTCAATAAGTTGAAATTTTCATATAAAACTAATATAAGGGTTTTTATGAAATGAAAATATTTGAAGTAGTGGAAAATTAAGAAAAAAGAAGGGCAATCTTTAAGTTTAAGACAAATATAATAGGTGATAAAAACATATAAAGATGGTGTACAATAATATATGAAATTTTTTTGGCTTTTTTTTGTTAGCAAAAAAGTGAGAAAAAATAGGGAAGTCCCCCAAGAGAAGAGGCTAAGGAAACGGAGAGAAAGCAAAATGATTTTCTTTTGGTTTTATGATGTTGTGATTATTATAGAAGAGAGAAGATATGTTTGGTTTTGGTTTTTTTTTTTTTGGGAGGATCTTCGTACTTAATATTGTTCTTGTATATAGGAGTTTTGGTGTGTGAATTATGGGGTTTTTAGGGTTTTTGTGAGTAAAGGGGGTGGGGGTATTTATTAGGAAGAGAAGAGGGTATTTACTAGACTTGTCTTGTGTCATTGATGTGTGAATTATGTGTTTTTAGGGTTTTAGTGAGTTTTTTTCTCGATTTGACACTTCTAATGTTCGGAGTTTATAATAAAGTTCTGACTAAATCTGAATTATTCATTGTAGGACTTATTCAGAAGTAGGGTGGGGGAGGGGGAAGAGAAAGTGGAGGAGATGTTATTTACTTATGAAGAGAGGAGGGTTTTTTTGTTTTAGCTTCCTACTCGATGTTTGAAGTTCATATTAAAGTTGAATCGTACACTGCAAGACTTATTCAGGAACAACGCTCCCGACAAGATTTATTAATTTAGGGTTTTAGTGAGTAGGGTGTACGAAGGTTGTAGGGTGG